AGGGGATATGGGGAGAGACTATTTGAACTGAGGGTATTTGAGGGGCAATATGGAAAACTAGTGCAGTGTAAACTCCCAGGAATCTATGAGAGTGACCACAGAGAGGACTCCTAGTAATGGAGAATACACTGTCCTGCCCTGTCCATCTTCTGTAACCAGAAAAGGCTTCCAGTGGAGGGACTGGGGCATCAATCAGCCACAAAACTACAATCTGTCCTGCCTGCAAGATGTGCTAGAGCAATTGTGGCACAGAACTTGTGGAAGTGTCCATCCAATGTCTTATTTAACTTGAAGTCCACTACATGAAATGGAGACCATGCCTGACACTGTTTGGATGGCAGCCCAGAAACCTCAGATAGAACCAAACATGACTTTAAAAGAATTCAGTGAGATGATTCCTAATGATATTCTGCTATACTTAGAGATTCATGCCTAGACCAGTTATCATTAGCGAGGCTTCCCCCAGCAGCACATGGGAGGAGATACAGAGACCCACTGGCTAACATTAGAGGGGGATAGAGAAGCCAGGTTTAGTTCTTCGTTGGGTCCCTCCTCGTGGCCTGGAGCTCAGAGAAACCTGCAGAAGAGCAGGAGAAGGAACTGTGGAAGCCAGAGTGAGGGACACTGGTAGGGCACTGGCCAAGGATGGAATCAGCTGAGTAGGGTTCATGAGGGCTCAAAGAGACTGAAGCAGTTTAGAGCCTGCAAGGGTCTGCATTAGGTCTTCTGCATAGATGTTATGTTGTTGGCAGGGTGTTTGGGGGAGACTCCTGACAGTGGAAGTGGGGTGTTCCTGACTCTTTTGCCTGCTTTTGGGACTGTTTTCTTCCTACAAGGTTACCTTGCACGGCCTCAATGTGAGGGTTTGTGCCTGGTCTTATTGTATCTTGTTGTGCTGTGTTCAGTTGGTGTCCGTGGGAGGCCTGCTTTTTTGGGGGGAGGGGGTAGATGTGGGGGAGAGGACAGGTAGGGGAGACTAGGAAGAATAAGAGAAGGGAAGCTGTAGTCAGAATATATTGTATAAGAGAAAAATAAATTAAAAAATTAAAAATAAAATATATTGTATAAAATTCTCAAAGAATAAATAAAAAATCATTTTTAAAAAGAGTATGATTCATAGTTTTATAAGTTCCCGAGTATATGTCCATGTGGAAGAAAGCAAATAATTTACTAAACCAGCTATTTGATTTTGAAGGAAGAGATTAGAGAAAAGTGAACTTTAACTGCAGTTTTGTTAATAAGAGGATCATGGCCCTGTGTAAACATTATGAGTCAGGTTTAGTCATTCAGCTAAAAATGAATTGAATTTCCAGGAGTAAGACTCAAAAACAAAGTACATACATGTGGATCTACATGGCTACATTTAGAAGATTTTTCTCCAAAGACACTGTAAGAGCAAATCTGAAAACCATCTCACTGTGCTGTTTTCACTGTCGTGCGCCTGTACTAAAGAAGAAAACCCAAATGCTTTCCAAATAGACAGTTATTTCTGCCATGAACATAGCACAAACTATAAAAAGGGAAAAGTAATTAAAGTCCTGACTGACAAAATATATCAAAAACTAGACATACATGTGCGTTTTTCTGGTCCAGTATTTAAAGAGGTCAGAAAATTGACTGAAGGTAAAGAGACTAGTGAAAACTCTCTTAGTATCCAAATTATCATCTTTTTGAAAAATACAAAGCAATTCAAAAGCTCTGGAAGACACATGGTCTTCTCATTCTATATGAAGCTCCTAGGTTGATAAAGCTCTGCTATTTTTTCCCAAATAAGTATTAAAATATTTGAGGGAAAAACCTCTTTTCTTCTCTTGCCACACCATCCCCTCCCTTTCTATACCCCTCTGTCTCCTTAAGGAGGAGTCTGCCCCTTCTAGAATGTGTGAGCATTGTGCCTTGGAGTGAAAAAGAGGGTCTGAACGGAACTTGAAAGAGGTGAGTCTGGTTCTTGCTCTTTGACTTACTGTGTGGTTTGGTCAAAGTAGCTAATTTCTCTAGGCTCCATCTTTATTTCTCCATTTTGTTTAATAATATGAAGAACACAGGATAATTTGTGTTTTCTTAAGTATGGCTTCAGTAACAGCAGAAACCAGCTTCCTGGATGAAGATGGCAAAGCAGAGGCACACCTACTCAGGAGTGATGAGCCCTTCTTACAGCAGCCACAGAGCCAACATTTTTAATTCACTTGTTTAAGCACAAATCACTGATGTCACATTTAAACTGTATTTTTTTAAGGCAAATAGACAATAAGAATCAAACTTAGAACAAGGTCATGTCTTTAGAAGCCATATGAGAACATATTCCAAAGGGCTTCAATATTACTGGTAATGTTTTATTTCTCAACCAAGTTTAGAGTAGATGAATATACATAATAGATAATCATACATGTACATTCAATCATGTTTCATATGAAATTCTTTTTAATCATTTTTACGTAACCCACCAAAGCATCTGTTACCAAAAGGTAAATAAATGAAAACATTTCTCTGGAATTTTAAGGGCCAGGGGAAATAGTTGTGTGTGGTTTCAAACATTCTCCTGCTGAACTTAAAGGTAAATATTGGGGGTAGGGATGCCATTCACTAAGGCATGTGCTCAGCATGTGTAAGAACCTGGGTTACATTTTTAGGGGTAGATAGTATATGATATGTTAACTTCCTCTCTTCCATGTAGTAAAAACAAAAAGTTTGCAAAAGGCATAAAGACAAAATAAGCTGTACTGGTAGCTTGATAAGCCCTTTTAAGAATACTGAGAGAGATGATGGTCAGTAAGCTGCATTCTAAACATATGCCTGAGCAAAACACGCGAGACCCACGTCTGAATTGTTTTTCCTAAGACAAGTCATGACTGCGATACTTTACCTTAAACTAAGCAAAGCTCTTCTCAGCGTCTACCTGGAACTACCTGCAAAACTCAAGTGCCTCTGATAGGTCTAAAAATTTCCACCAAGGAAGTATAGGTCATTCAGCAAAATATATTGACTGTATACTACCATAATGACTGATTAATTGTCGTTATGATGCAGATACTTAGTGGAAACAGATGTTTCTTTTTCCTCTCAACAGTACACAGGAACGTGTAAATCTGCTGACGCCGTGTGGACACCTCAGCACAACAGAGGCGAAAAGACATTAGCACATGGCAATATTAGTTTTTACTACACAACAAATTGCACAGAAAGTATAACTTGAAGCTTTCCAGCTCTACAGAAGGGAAACAAGTAGACTTCTATAACCGGACGCTTCATTTCACATCTGCAGTTGGCAAAGCCCTTCTGAGACACTAGGCATAGTCATTGCCACCATTGCTTTCTTAACACAAGGAAAGGGAGGTTGTCCTGTCATCTTTGCTCCTGCAGCATGAATAGAACGCTGCCTTTACAGAGAACTTCGTTTCTGGGCCTTGGTATAATGGCTAAAACTTTTCTGGAAAGTAGCTTGGCAATCAATGCGAAGAATTGACGAAACAGTCTGTACCTTCAGTCCGAGTAGTTACTTTTCTCTACTAATATATTGTGGGGAAATGGACACACATGATTAAAGATGTGTTTAAAATGCACAACTTTATTATAATGGAAATTAGAAATTCTATTTCTCCAAAAGTAGATCAATGATTAATTACAGTGCATGGTTAAAACACAGCTAAGCAAATATAAGTGTCCTTCGTAATAATTTAATCATATTTAACTTCTTGGAGGAAAATGGGTTGAAAAACACACAAAAATGTCATTTTTAGTTTTTACAAATTCTCTCTAATGAGGACACACTAGTTTTTAAATCAAGAAATGTTGTGAGTCTCTTTTTTTCTTTATATGTTGTATTTCTATGTTCTGATACAACTGTCATTGTCCAAAGTTTCCAAAAATATTTCTGGATCAAATAATTCTACCAGAAAAATTGATAAGGTAAATTGACTCAAAACTATGCAATATGTAATTAATTTCTAAGTTTAGCAGAGAAACAAAATCATGTGCCAATCACATAGGTAATATACATTCTCCCCTTAATGAAACAGGTTGACTACAAATTATAAAACATTTACAGAACAAACATGTTTACTTGCAATCTACATGTTCTGTTATATGTCATCAATTCTAGAATTTGTCTAATTAAAAGTATTTCTAAAACCAATAAAGCAGCTTATTAATTGCTCTCCTCTACAGGCCAATAAGAATATTTGCTCTAGCTTTCCGAGGACTCTTAGTTTCCTTGTTCTGTTTTACAAGAAGGGGTTGATTTGTCTTAGACTATTACTGTCTATTACTTCTAGAAGTCTCGAGGAAAGGTGGGAAGCAGCAAATTCTGGCAATCTGCCTAAAGAGAAATCAATGAAACAAATTAATCCTTCGCTGGCTGCAATGACACAGTAATCCATCACTCAGAGCTGCTTTCCACACCAAATCAGAGAACAGCAGAAAGAGCCCTGGGGGACATCACAGACAGCACTGGGAAACACTGAAGAATCAGTTGGTTTAAAGAGAAGAGATTTCAGTTGATTGCCTGTTTTGTCAAATAAATATTTTTCTTCCACAATGTGATCAACCTAAGAGCCATCACTACATCTTTAGAGTTCAGTACCATATACTATCTGACACCTATAGGGGATGCATACTAAGTCATTTGCATTGTTAATTAGTATGGTCAAATATCTAATGAGAAATCATACCATTCTATTCAACTTTCATGTGCGTCCCCTTCTCAGTAGGGTTTAACTGTAAATTTACATACAAATCTGCAACTTACACAATATTTCTTAGGAAACTCCATATGAAGTGTTTATACATCAGGTGTAATGTTAGAAATATATGTAATTTTCTAAGTGCTATGTAAAGTTTAAGGAGTTGAGATTTTTAATTACATTTTATAGTGTGGATTTCACAAAGCGAAGCAGATTATATAAATAAATAGAACTTTAAAGTGACAAATAATCATTTTGTTTATAATAGTTAATGGTATTACGAGATAAATGTATAAATCAATGTAAATGCCTGTATCTTACTTGGCTAATGTCTTCTAAGGAGAAGTAGTGGCAGGAACATGGCATCACAGCATATTACTATTGTTCCATGTAGGCATGAATTCTGTAGTTATACACGAGGAGTTAGTGAGGATATTCTAAATAACAAAACAAATAAAAATAAAAAACACAAACAAACAGCACTACATGAGCTCCTGGAACGCTGAAACCCTGGAATACTTTATCACAGATCCAAACAGAAAATTAGATTCAATAAATCCTAAGCATTTAGTTTTTGAGTGTCGTCTTCAATCCCAAGGTCTGCAGCCATGTGATCACAATTCCCGACCATGCTGATGCATTTTTAATTCAATGCATGAATCTAGTATTTATTGATTTAATAAGATGAGGAGAATTACCTTGTTGCTGCTACTGATGAACTGTCAGCAATGTAATCTAGTGAAATCTTACAGGGGATGTGTGTAGGACTGAGAGATGGAAAGAAGCGATATTCATGTGTCTTTAGGACTGAGAATAGGAAAGGAGCGATAGCCATGCATACAGAACCACTCGCTGCTCATGATAGTGGCAAAAGCAAAAACTGTTCTTTTCCAACGGCTTTGAACTTCAGACATTTTGTTTTTCTGAGGATGTTGCCTACAAATTGATTTAACTGACAGTGAACAGGCTGCAGAATAATTTTGCTGAGACCCTTCAACATTGAGGGGGAATGTATTATCCCGCACTTCCCTTCTAGCCTCTCCTCACACATTATTTTGTCTTTGTATTCCTAACAGAGCAGGCCAACCAGGCCTTGAACTCATTATGTGGCTCAGGCTGCTGCCCAGGCTGACTGTAAACTCTTGGTCCTCTTGAACCTGTCTCCCGAATGCTTGATCCTTGTCAGTTTGGTTTTTACACACACAAGCACACACCTAAACTTTGTCACCTAACAGAATTTCAAGGAGTCAATCAAGGTCCTCTTCCCTTGGATCCTAACATTTTCCACAGCAATACTACACACATAAAAAGAAGACAATGGGGGAAATCGATTTTCTTACAGTCAGTTCTGACAAAGTAAAGTCAAAGAAGAGAAGTTCTTAAACGAAGTCAGAATCAGAAAAGGGCCAAACCCCATCAAAGTTTCTGAAGCAAGCACCCAGGCTCTTGGTACTGTGACACCCTGCTTGTCTGCTTATTTCCCCAACCTAGCACCTGGAACCAGGGTGTGCTTCAGGTTTTCTCTCACTTTGAAGAAATGCCTAGTCTAAGAAGGGGTGCTGCTGCTGAGGTCAGTAAAGCCATGCTAATTGTGAACCTAATTGCTTCAAGCAGTCTTGCCTCTAAACAGGGAGAGCCCAGTTGATGGAGTCAGTCTGTTCCTAATAAAATGAAGAAGCAGTGAATAAAATTCCCGAGGAAGGCACTATAAAAGTTTCCACAGTGTAACCAAATGACTTCACCTCTGCCATTGCCTCCAAGATGACATCTTTGAAGAAACACAGACCCCAGTTGGGCTCCATATTCATAAATTGGCTGTGCTTAGGCCTGTAAATCTGGATTGATTTAAAAGGCTTCTTCATCCTTCCACTCAAATGAAGTCATTGTTAATTAGATGTTTTTTGTTAACAATGTCACTCTCTCCGTATTACCTGCTCACACTTGCAGCCCCTCTGGTGAAACATCTGGAGTCCCATTTCCCCTGCAATCATCTTTGAAGCACTTCAGTTAGTTGGAAGGTGGTGGTGGTGTTTTGCACTCAATACCGGTCTGAAGAAGGATGCTATCCACGGTGCTAGTGTGCCCTACAGACCATCTTCCTAAACTGAGATTATAAAGCCGTAACTGGAAACACAGTAAAGGTCTGGTAGTTCTTGAACTACGTTGCAGGGTTTTCTTGTTCTTTGTTTTTTGTTTTTTTCTGTGTTGACCCTAACTGGCAAATGAATGCCTTAAAGTATAGAAGGAGCACATGAGATAGACGTCTTAGCTGATAAAAAGCCATTTGCCACCGAGCCTGTCCACCCGAGTTCGAACCCCTTGGAAGGAGAATGGAATACTGAAAGTTGTCCCCTGAACTCCACATAGTACCAAGGCATGCCGTGAAGGTGATATTAAAAAAGAAAAACAAAAAAGAAAAAAGGCTACAGTTAACTTCCACTAGCTCTCCAATTTCTTAAACCCAGAATCTTCCTTAAAATAAAAGATAAAATATGTTTTGTGGTTCTCCAAACGTGCACTGACACCGAGCCCCCCCCCCACACACACACACACCACCACCACCACCACACACACACCACCTAAAAGCTCTGTCTGCCCCTAGAGAGTCAAATTGCAGAAACTGCAATGACTCGCAAAAGCAGTTTCAGACAAGGCGGTTCTTTGAATACTATGGGACTGGGCTGGGACAGCTCACACTCCCTCCGGCCCTGTTTCTGGGCGCTTCGCAGTAATTACCCAAGAAGTTGCAAACTGGCAGTGAGGACCCAGACGCCCTCACGGGGTTTGGGGAGCGTGCGCCCCCCCCCCCACCTGGCTGGGGTTCCTTTCTGAATCCCTCTTAGCAGGCTGTCTTTGTCACTGTGCCGGTTCATCCATCCGCTGGCGGCCTTCAGTGCCACGGAGGCCTAGCATGCTGCTGTTTTCTGGCAGGGGTGGATCCCTGCCCTGCTGGGCGCCGCACAGGCACCCAGGGCCAGTGGATAACCCTACGACTAAGGCGGGATGTGGATCTCTCTTGCGGAAGCAACTCTTAGCAGAGTGACATGTGAGTCTGCATTTCTGCTGGGGCTGGAAAAGCCTGATCCTCAGACCAAATCATTCACCCCAGGCCTGCCCTTTAGGGATAAGAAGACACAGGAGAGCAAGAGCCCTTGTCTGTGGTCCGCAGGGGTCTGGATTTGCCAGCAGCAAGGATGTTCTGATTCACCACTCCAGTTTACTAGGATGCACCGCAGGCAGGTCAGGACCTTGGCCTCCCAAAGAGCATTGGGCCTTCCCGAAAGCCCTGGTCTAAGCAATTCTTCAGAGAGAGCCCGCCCCGCCCCCTATTTCGTCTTTGGGGAGAAGTGTACCATTGGAGCAGGAGTCATGAGACAGGGCATGAATTTAGTCTTGGGGCCGTATTCCTAACCCCAAGAGCCTGAGGACTGTACCAGGTCTTAGGAAGCAGCTCACCATCCTGCCCATACTGCTGCGGAGGGGTCCGAAGTTCAACACTAAGCTACTACAATGGACCTTGATTTTCTAGTGGGTGGAACCACTCTAGGTAAGGTTGGTTAGTGACCACAGAAGGACGGACCTCTCTGAGAAAACACATGCCTGGGGGTAGGATTCTTAATTGGAGGTCTTCAAATTCTTAACCTCGAAGATTTGCTGGTCCCGCAACATGTACTCCCTCCGGAGACAAGAGGGTCTGGGGGAAATCAGTTTCTTGGCATTCTTTGGTCCCTGTTATGTGTGCTTAAGGTATACAATGGCTGCAGCCTAAACACCTGGGATCTCTTACAACAATCACTTTGAAAAGTCATTTCAGTTGTTTCTCATTCCTCATCCAGAGGGAGAGAACCCTGAAGCAGTGAAGTTACCTCTCTAAGATGTGGACAAGAGATTTGCAAAAAACAGCTATAGACATTGTCGCCCATATCCTGGGTAGGTTTCCCCCTTGCAAACAGAAAAGGCGAGACAGTTTTTTACCCCATTTCTATTTAGTGCTTATGTGACCCTCACTGTCCTGTATCCTAGGAAACATTCCTTTGACCCTCGTGATTCATCTGGAACTACGCAAAGGGAAAGTAGTCCAAAGACAGGCAATCTGCTACGTAGAGGGCAATGAACAGAGGTCCTAAGAAGAAGCTGGGGTTGTTCTGACCCGGCTTCGGAACCTGCCCCCAGAGCAGGTAACTCCTTGTGTGCCCGGCCTCAGGGCTCTGTCACACCCGGCCTAAATAACGCCACGTGCTCAGGGCTGCTGTGCCCCAGCTCTGCATTTGGGGGCTGTTTGCGCGCGCAAGCACTCAAACGGCGCGTGCTTCTCGGTCCCAGCGCCTGGGGCCCATTTAAGGCTGTCTGGACAGCGGAACTTCGCGAGGTCCCGCAGAGCACCCACACTCGACCATTTCCCTGGCGTTAGACCCGAGGTCACCCTGGCCTGGCCTAAGAGGCCCGGAAGGCGTGAGGTCATTCAAAGCCTAGCAAGAAACAGCATCTTCCCGCCTTTGGCTTCCTCCCTGACAGTCAGCCCCGCCACTAGTCAGCCTTAGCTCACTCGGCTTCGATTACCTCCCAGCAATTACAAGACAACACCGAGCCAGACCGACCTGAGCACCGGGTCAGCTCCCGAGTGCGTGGGTCCTAACAGTCAGGACTCACAGGTGCCTCCAGGTAGGAACAGCACCAGCGCACTTTTCCAGCCTCAGCGCTTCACCTCTCCCCCTCCCACACACACCCGACAGAGCGAGGACCCGCGGGTGTTTGGGGTGGCTGTTGTTCTTTTAAAAGTATATTAAAGGATCATTGGCGTCTCCCCGTCAAGTCATTACGCCTTTATCCCCATCAATTAAGCACACCTCAGAGGGCTGCTATTAAGAGCTAAATTGAGCTGCAAAAGTAGGTATCCCGTTTCAGGCAGCTGTTGTTATCTCCCGCTGAGGTGCGGCCGGCCAGGCTCTACCTCGGCTTCCCGCTCCCGCCCCAGCTAGGACGAACACGGCATTCGGCGCGGCGCGCAGAGAAGAAGCTGAACCGGAGGTCACAGCCAAAACAAAGTGCTGGTGCTAGGAATGGACCCTAGGCCATCTCAAGTAGTGTAAGTGCTGTGCACGTCAATAAGAAGTGTCTTCCAGAGTTGAGTGGAGTGGACGACGCCAAGAGCTAGCTGAGCGGGGTTTTTTGTTTGTTTGCTTTTGTTTTTTTGCTCCGTGAAGTGGAGAGTATCTGTTCTTAGTCGGCTTTCAGCTGGAGATGCAGAAGGAGGAGGTTGGGAGGGAGAGGGCAAACTAAGTGTGGCTGGCCGACTGCTACCGTATGCCCTTCTTCCTTCTCCATCCTCTGCAACCTCTTTCCTAGCTAACAGGCCCCAGAAACCCAGAACACATAGTGGATCAAGGCGCGGTGCGGTGGAGACAGGGGATTTGGAGCCTCAGAATCCCGAGCAGAA